AATACAAAGTTAGTACCAAATATATAATATATTATATATAAAATGTGGGTGTATGATATACACACATATTCTAATGCAAAAAAACTGCATTAATATGGAGTTAAATTTGCTGACATCCATTCCTAAATAACATAACCATTAAAAAACAGGTGTAATCCTGATCTTTCACACACTTTAGAATCCTCTTTCATACATAATAGTTAAAGCAATATATATGCAAGTATGACTAAGAAATCAAAATTCACATAATAACCTGAACTCTGACCACAACAAATAGGATTTTTTTTTTTTCAGTACACGTAATTAAATATATTTATATTTTTACAGTATTTTTAGACCATTCCTGAAGAACTTGACCAACCGGGTCCTCAGGTTCAACACAGCTGTTACGTCAGCAGAACTCGATCTTGTAGGAACACATCCAGTGGCCCTTGAAGTCAACACGAATCATTCGTTTGGCTTCAAAGGACGCCGCATGAGGCCCGAACGAGCTCCGGAAGGATCACCCAGCTAACAAGGAAGGTTCCCCGATGACATCAAAGCTTCTACCTCAGATGTCCTTTCCTACCGCCAAAGGGAAGGTCTGGTGCAAAGGACAGGCGGACTCTGGGCTCTCTGGGCCGTTGGTGGGTGGTGTTGGAATGACCACGTCGGGCACAGCCCCAGCACCTGGGAGTGGCAAGGCGAGCCTCACGGCACCTTTTGCCCCAAGGCTTCTCGTGGAAAGCAGAGGGGCTGCTCCTCCACGCTCATCGCTTGGCAATTCGGTCACCACTGGTCTCAGACGTGAGCTGCGGCTGGGACCCCAAGGCATTAAGTACTTCGCAGACACAGAGGAAGACGGTCCCTGTTCCGAAGGGCTCGAGCCTGCTTCCTAATCATATTTTTTACATAATCTCCTTTGTATATACACATATTTGCTACATAAAATAGAATTACACCAAAGTAATGGATATAGCGGAAAACATTGTCACAATATATGTATATTACCACACTAAATAATTACTAAAACTGCAAGGAAAATTTCCAAATGCCCTTTGTAATATATAAAAATATAGAAATGTCCAACACTTGTTTCATCAACTTTAAAGGTAACTTTAGCTCTCGTGTTCTATCTGTACACCTACATATTTCCAAACAAAATACTGCGTTAATCTGGAGTAAACACCGTGTTCGGATAACACCCTCGTAAGACATCCGACAGACTCAGTCACATACTTTACAGCACAGGATCACAAGAAATAATGTATACATGGTCAGAGTTGCAGCTGCTAAGTTGTTGGGGCTTTTCTTTTTTTCCTTCTTATTCACTTATCTTGTCCAAAAGAGGATGTAATTCCTAAAGATTGCAAGAGAACCTTAACTCATGATTTCGTGTCTTTTTTGGACATGCTCTGTAAGAAGGACACCAGCAACCCTGACTCCATCTTAACGCAGTTTTTTGTGGTGGAATTTCTTCTGGATTTTTTTTTTTTTTGAGTGTATATGAATTTAAAATAAAGATATCATAAATGAACTTGTTTATATTAAGTAAATACTGTCAAATATAAATGTCTGAATTGCTACCTGAAGGAAAAGATGGGAAAGATCTTATCATTAAATTCCCCAAATTCCTAATTCTATCTATTAAACTGAAGGACCAAACGTCTTTAGGGGAAATACAAGAATTCCAGATTTAAGTTCACTATTAGTTCCTACTAAATCAGTTATTTGCAGCCATTAAATAAATTAGTACAGTGCAGAAACGGAATTTCACCATTGATCCCACCTTACATGAAGAGGAGAATACTGCTTAGAAATAGAGGTCCAAATCAGATACATCATCATACGCTCAAAGTAGTAACTGCCATTAATCAGAACTTGCACTTTTACTTCACCGACAGTGAGTAAGACAATCTCCTCTCTCCTGACTCTGTCTCACTCAGAAGTGGTTAAGTATAAACCAAAAACAAGGATAGCCAGATTTTGAGCCAATACACGTCGTTACAGAACCAGCAAAGCCAACCGCTGGTCTGTCACCTGCAAAAGAGCAGCCCTGTTCTGACGTTGGTTTGGACTTCATACAGCTTACATGTATCTGCGGCCCTTCTTCCACCCAAGCCCTAGTCAGAGGCGTAAACACACAAATATCCAAACACTGGGGTGGGTGTGGGTGGAATTAAGCAGTTTATGATAAGAAATGTCTATTTGAACACTTAAAAGATTTGTGTACAAGTTCTGTAGACTTTAATAGGAACAGGAATAGTGCTTCAACGCACACCATTACATTCAACCCATGTCATACACAGAATGTTCTTATCAGGGTAAAAAAAATGCTCTAATGAGAGTTAAAAGTTTTCAGAATGGTCTTTTTTTATATTGTTTTATGTAGTCACCAAGAAATACCACAAAATTAAAAGAATTGGTCCTTCTCTTGACATCAATTTGAGAAAAAAAATATTTTCCTGATATAACCAATGGATTAAATCCTCACTAACTGCATTTCTAGTACAGTCTTCATCATGTTCTTTTGGTTGCTGTTTCATCTTTTTTATCCACTCAGTCTCCTTGTTTACAAGGCACACTAATGGATGTCTTTCCCAAATCACTGCATTAAAGGAATACCTCCAGTTAAAGGCTTCCCTTTGTCAAATGTGCTTGAAAGGTAGCAGCCAACAACACGTAATGGATGAAAAGTAGAACTGATGGAGGTGCTGCCATTTTTGCAGGACCTAGTTTATGTAAATTTAATATGTCAGTTACTAAAGAAAATGGTTACATATTTGTAGTTTCTCAGTCTATACACCTGTGGTCCCAAAATAAATATGACCTAAATACCGTGGAGAGAGTTCAGCTGAAAACTGAATCCTAGATTACAGAGACTAAACCTAACATCACAGCCTTTAAAAGAGACTGAACTGAAAATGTATTTACCAAATCTCAAAGGGTAAAGTGCATTGCAACTACCTCTACTTCAAGGGGCAGAAAATAAGGAATGCTAAAGATGAGTAGCACGGGTACCAGGGACTACCCAGTATGTTTGCAGTGTACACAAAACGAGAAAGCATTATCCCACCTGTAAAATATAAGAGGGTAAAAAAATAGTCCTGGAAAATATGTCATCAGGCTTGTTCATATAGTTAAGGCTACAGAAAATTGAAACTTCAGTATGTCCTCAATTCTGGGGACCAGAGCTAAGAAAACACCCCCTCTGAAGTACTCTGAAACTTGCAACAACATAAAAAAAAAATTTCTCCGACCATCCCTTGTATCTGAGGCTATTCAGGATAAATGCACAGGACTGGACACTGGAACTAAGGAGGGATATGGCTGGTGGTTGTAATTTCAGCAGGTCACTTAGGATCTGCCTGAAGCCTCTGTTTCCCTGTTCGTCAATTACGAATATCACTTCCCTGCCTCACAGGTGTGATTTAAAGGTCCAAATAATTAGTATTTCTGAAACACCCATACTATACAGATGAGGATCAAATATTTCTAGGTAGCTAGCTACATCAAACACATTTGCCTCAAAACACATGCTGAAGCATTAGTTCGGCTCAGAAATTTACGTGAGCTATAAGCTAAGAACAAGAATCACACCAGTATCGTTAACCCAGTAAGTGTTTTGCTACACCTGGTAACTTCTCTTCAGTACAGATCACAACTGGTCCATAGCATAGGGTGAAGCGATGGCAAAGATGTGAAGCAGCACTAACACTGCAGACCTGTAAGATGTCTAGCTCTGGGTAGCTGTTACCTTCTTGAGTACCAAGGTCTCCCCACAAGCCAACAAGTCTATCACAAGGGTATGCATAGGTCGACTGTGAAATCATTAATGAGGGGGTTTTTAAAATCTCATTTAAGGTCCTCATAACGGTCTCAATGATTCCCATCTTTTACTTCTGCAAATTATGTTCTTTGTGCATCTGGTATTTCAGTACCATACAGTCTGTAAAGATAGCGAAAGTCAGGAGTGAAAAGGTTGCCTGATATTCCTTAACGGTGTGGCAAGACACATGTATTTCAGGTGCTACTACTGCTGCCACTGACAGAAGACCAAAGAAGAAGTTAACAAAGAAGCAGGAATACACTCTAACTTAAAAGACTGAAAATAATTGTAGTTTGTTTTTTATAAAACTTCAATTCAAATATTGCAGGAAGACCCTTAATTCTTTTTCGGATCTCCAAATGGCTTTTCTTGCATGTTTCTCCTCGCTCACAGTTGAAGGGTTATTATTTTACATCACACCAGTTCACACAAGTGTCAGTTCTTTTGTAATCACAGGCTCAAAAGTAATCTCTTCTGCTGCTAGTACCAAGGTGCACCTGCAATACTGCCAGAATTCTAAAATTATTCAGAGTATTCAAAAAAAAAAAAAAATCCCCACCTTCTGCTAAGTGTGCATCTGGCATATTCAAAAAACAACATTCTACCTGGATGTACCTGTAACACTGAGCAGCCATCATTGTAACCAAGTTCACCAACTGCCAAAGGAAAAGAAGTATGCTCGTAGAGAATACTACCTTCAGATAATTCACTACATATCTTCCTAAATTAAAGCATACTATCAACTATGGATGCACATGGCTAGAATGTACAATTTTCTACGAAGAACTATCAAGTCCAGTACCCTGCCTCCCATGTAACCTGTGTCTGATGCTTTAGAGGAAGACCATAACTGCATAATAAACCTTTCCAGTTGTGCAATAACGCATGCTGCTGGAGAGCTGGGCTATTTCTGTCATGGATAAAAAAAGGTAGAACACTGGACAAAGACAACAATTTGACCTTCAAGAGTCTTTCTTTGTCAAATGTAGAGAGTAAAGACAAACACATAAACGACCCTGAACAATAATTAAAGCTATGTACAAAATTTTGACTTAAGACATAATGGAACAGATAAAAAAAGAAACACACAAATGCAAAGAAAGGGAGGCACACTGAACTAAGAAATGACAAGAGAGCCTTAATTTATACAGCCAACCTGTGAATTCCTTCACAAAAAAAAAAAAAAACAAAAAACTCTAAGGAGATTAAAATTCTGTCAGATTTCACAGGGAACCCAATACACCACTCAGAATTCTCTTCTGACAGAAGCAGCTTAAGGCTGGGTTTAGATGCATTTTGCATTTTAGCTCCAATCAACTAACTTTGACAGGGCCTCTCAAATATCACACAAGTTAAAAAAAAAACTATCAGGAATTAGAGGCCTTTTTGCACATGTGTTCTTAAAAAAAAAAAAAACCCAGCCGAAAAAGGTGTGGTGTTTACAGGTGTTTATATCCCTTGAGATGAACCAATCTATCTTGTGTATGTCAAACTGAGTGAATTAATGCATTTCATTCTGGAAGAGCCGCTTCAATGAGGAATGAACAGAAGATAAGTATCTTGAAAGATTAGGTTTACCTGCTAATAATGCACATATCGAGAGGCTTTAAAAAGTGTTATAAATGCCATTAATGAGTACAGGCACCAGACCGGAATATTTATAAATTCAAAACTGGCACGTCACTCAGACTCTAATCAATTTAAAGAGGCACTGTGAAAGGTGGTGATGCTGTGCAGTAATAACTACTACTGTAGAATGAAATAGTGTTACCTAAATGAATATTTGCTCTACATTAATTCCCTTTAGTTAGACAAGTACATGAAGTATGCAGAAAAAGTTCTATGAGTCTATAAAAGGCGTTAGTGTTAAGAAATGCAAATACTTGCATCTTCAATTTTATAAACTTCACAAAAGGTGCAAATGATTTAATGCTTCCCAGGCTCACATAGGCAGGTCAGTACTGTTATGTCTAGTTTTCCTAGAAGTACCATCATCTCGGGGCAGTGCTTTTTGCAAGCTTGACATAGCAGCAGTTCTTTCAATGTCTATCACAGCATACAGCTCTGTGCGCCTGGTTGGAGTTTGCGGAAGTGGAGTGGTGGGGGTTTTTGGAGTCTGAGGGTTGTCGGAGTCACTACCACCTTCCAAGTCAACCTGTATATAGTTGAGCTGCCTGTGTTCTAAACTTGGACGCCTAATGTCAAAGTTAAAGACTGTTGGGGTACAGTCCCGACGTCGTGTAAATTCTACTTTATGAGCACTTGCTGGTACGGTTACATTCTCTGTATTGACATAATTATGCATTGGATCTAGGTTATTGTGGTAGCCATTCAGAGATGGGGTCTTTGGTCCTAAACTGTCATCTTCATCCCTACTCAGCTTGCGGGCTTCCCAAACAGGAGGCAAGGATGGCAAGTTCTCATAGTTCAACAGCGCAGTTCTCCTCTGTGCAGAGTTGTTAATGTTCTGGGTGTCTGAGGTACTGGTTGATGTCAAACGACCTCTCCTGACCCCTGAGGCACTAGGGATTGATAACCTATTGATATTTTCGTACACCAATTTATTACCAGATGGGGTTTCTCTACGTTCGTCACTGTCGTACCCAGTGTCCCATTCAGTGTTGTTTGTGCTGCCGCCACTAACTTGGTCTCTCCCAAGTTGCTCCAGTTTCTCTCTTTCCATTAACTGCCTTTGAACAGGTGTTGGTCCTAAAACAAACTTGACTCCTTCAGGCTCCAGGAGAACCTGAGCATCTCTGTCATCAGTACACATCTGATCTTCTTTCACTTTCGTTGTTTCAGTGTTTGAAAGCTTTGATTCCAGTGGCGCATGCACACTTGATCGATTTTTTCTTTCCTCTTGTACCCCAGTAGTGTTGACATAAGTGTGCACCTAAAAGGGGAATTAAAAAAAAAAAGGAAATTCAAACTCTATTCGCACTCTTTTTTTCCCCTCCAAATTTCTTTCCTTCTTAACTCCCCACTTTTCTAATCAAAATACCTAAAACCCAAATCTCGTGATAGCTGTTTAAGAGTTGTGCAAAGGACCCAAAAAAACCCCACAATCTCACCTTGCATACTACTCAAGCAACGAGGAGAGAGGTTGGCTCTACTGGAATAGCAGTCCATGCTTTCTTCAAGAGCCAACAGCCTCCTAATACCAGAAACTCAAGTAGAAAAATACACAATTCCATATGAACTGTGGCACTGAGAACTAAAAAGTAGCAGGTGCTGGCACAAGATGCTACTAAGAAAGGCAGGAATACACCACTAGGTTATCCCTCCAAGTTCCTACAGTGGATCAACACAAGGCTGAACAGGAAAGACTGTAGTAATGGATTCCTTCTTTAAATTTACATTCTCTGTCTGGACACCCAAACAGCAAAAGTAGTATTTTACAGCAGCAGTCATCTAGTCTTCCCAAATTCTCTGTCAGGCTCTACAAGCTGAAGTGTTATTTACAGCTCACTTGACTCCTACACTGATTCTTTAAAGTCATTTACTCTTCAATAACTCCAACAATAACACTTGGACTCTTCTGTGGGGGCTCCTAACAAATCCTTTCCCACAAGACAGTTCACTGCACTTTACTCTCGTTACCTTCTCTGGTTTCGAACACTGTTTCTTGTCACACATGAGAGTCTTCCTAAACCACATTACATTTTATTAAACTCAACTAACATTTTCATCAGAAACCTGAATGGTGAGATAGAACACACCCTCTGAAAGTTTTCAGTCTATCCCAGAGTGGTAGGGTTTCCACTGAAAGGGATCTCAGCAGCCTGAAGAATTGATCTCATAGAAACCTCATCAAGTTCAGCAACAACAAATGCAAAGTCCAGTGCCTGGTATGGAACACGACCAACAGTAGAGGCTAGGCACCACCTGACTTGAAAGCAGCCTTGAAAGCACCAGGGGTCCAGGTGGATGCTGAGTTGAACACGAGTCAGCAGTGTGCCCTTGAAGCAATGAAAACCAAATGTGCCTTGGTTTGTGTTAGCAAAAGCACAGCCTGTAGGTTAAGGGAAGTGATTATTACTGTCAATTCAGCACTTGTGAGACGGAATTTGGGTTCCCCAGTGCAAGACAGACATCACCATACTGGAGTAAGTCCAGTGCAGGGCCATGATTAGAGGGGCTGGACCATATGACATACAAGGAGAAGCTGAGAGCGCCATCCTTGTTCAGTCTTAAGAGAAGGCCAGGAAACCACCTAATAGCTGTTTCAGCTACCTAATAGATAAAGAAAAGACAGAGCCAGACCCTTTTTAGAGATGTTCAGCAAAAGGCTGTGGGGCAATGGACACCAGCTGTAACAGGAAAAAAGCTGATTACACATGAGGGAGAAAAGCTTTCAAACAAAGGTGGTGAAACACTGGAACACATGGCTCAGAGACACTGTGGAATCCCCTTGTTTTGTGTATTCAAAGCATGACAGGACATGGCTCTGTGCAGCCACCTCCAACTTTAAAATTTGACCTAGAGGACTCTAGAGGTCCCTCCTAACCTAAATTATTCTGTGATTTCTATTCGCCAAACAGAAGACTTACATGTAAAGAAGCTTTTTGACCAGGAGCTCTCATTATAAAGTACAATTTGTGTTTAAGAATAATTACTGAAATTTTGAGAAAAATATACACAAATACATACATTCTAGGTCTTTCATGTATATAAATATGAAGAGCAACTTAAAAGTTATTTTTCCTCAGCAAGCTATCCTACAAAGTATCATTTTAGAGAGCCAAAGCAAACATACAGTAGAAATACATTACACCTGATACTGAAAAGCACGAATGAAAGCCTACAGAACAAGCGCTAAAAAATCTGAACTAATGTAGAACCAAAGTTATGTGAGGGGAAAAAAAAATACTCACTTGCTCCTCTGCTACAAGTAAAGGATGTGTTGATTCTTCACCGACAGAGGGGAGGCGTGCACTTCCAACAGAAGGATGCCTGCTAGAAGGATGTGACGAAGCATCTCCAAAAGATGGATATCTGGGATAGCCGTTAGGTAAACTTTGTGCATTGAACCCAGGAGCTGATCAATTAGAAAACAAGCAAACTCGTATTAAAATAGAACATTTTACCATATGTGAGTAAGATGCTTTACAACTCCATTTTCAATTTTCAAAAAAATTAAAATATGTAAAACAGTGTTAAATATTAACAAGACTCATTTTTTCTGGAGGAAAGGAAAAGGAAAGAAAATTGCAGCATATAGCATCCCAGTATTTACTAGGAAATATGTCTGATGCAACCACTGGAATCTAGGTGTATTAAACACCACAGTCATCCTAGTAAGCTCCCTATCCAACTTCTCTTTCTACCATTAACAACACGTCTACCTAACAAACAGGGACTTACTTATTTAAGCTTCCATTTCTTTGAAATCATCAATAACCTGGAACTCCTAATTTCAAGTATCAAGCCATCTTCCTGAGATTACCTAAAAGTCCTCTGGTATTTTTGAAAGGAGACTTCACTCTACCCATCCATCCACTCACAACAAAAGAAAGATTCCAAACCCATTGTAGATGTGATACTACCATTACTTTTTTTCCCTAATAAAAAGGTTGGAACATCGCCCGGCACTAAATTTCTCAGAAACGCTACAAGTAAAATATGGCAATATATTATAAAGCAATTCAATAGGTGTAAGTGTTCACTGAAGCACTGTTCTTATGCAACAACTAAGTTCCCAGAACTTATTTCTTAAAGCTGAAGAACCTGACTATGGCAGTTTTACTCCCAAGACTTAGGATTCTCAAAAGAGAATCCTCAGCAAGTACCTCAAGAGAATGCATTACTGGTAATTAGCCTCTTAGCTTTTAATTAGTTTTCTTTTTAATTACTTAACTGAAAATAGCATTTAATTTGCATTAAATCTTTTACGTACCACATTACATTCAGGTATGTCATCTGACAGTATAACCATACTTACTGGTAGGTGTTCGAGGGGTTCGTGGAGCTTCCAACTCAGTTTGATGATTATTCCTTTCTACTACTGGTTCTTCTACCACATTTATGCTATTATTCTGCATTATCTCTTGCAACATATTAAATAGCTCTTCTGCACGGGCACATTTAAAGGCAAAGATTCCTATAAATACACAAGAAAAAAATCAAAATCCTTTAACGTCAGAAACATGCCTTACCATGTATATAACTTTCAAAAAATAGAACTGGAATCCACGTAATGAATGCCTGTTAAAGAAACAAAAGTGTTAAGAAATTTTTATTGCACCAAACACACAAAATTACTGTGAGAACCTTTAAAGTGTTTCTCTGATAGAAGAATAAGATTCCCATGCACCAAAAGTGAAATTAGAACAGAAAATTGATTCAGTTAAGAGCAAAACTAAGTTTTGAGTGCTAAATCAGGGGTGAAAAAAAAAAAAACAAAACCAAACCACAAAACAAGGGAAGACTTTTTTCTTTTTTTAAGCTGATTAAAAAAGATACCTGTTAAATAAATAAACAAACAAACTCTACATGAAACTACTGTGGTACTACAAGGTCATATTTTTTAAACCAGATTTCTATTAAATTACCATAAAAATAAGATACCTGCACAACAGGAAAGAAGGATTTAAACACTGGGAAAAAGTTTAGTTTCTTTTAGAAGATTAAAATGAAAAGCTAGGAAGACAAACTGTGTGGAACAGACAGTAACAAACCAATTGCTTTAGGCTAAAGGATAGACACACAACACAAAGTTAGCAGCAATACCATGTATTTTGTGTGTGTATTGTGCCACTTTGCCTTTAAACAGCAGGGAGCGCCCCAACTTACCCTCACCAGCAAAGTCGCAGCTTTGGATTATTCTTCCATTGAAAGCATGAAGTTAAAGTTGACATGCTTGTTAAACGTGGGTGCAGGTGCTCATTTTTTAAAGTGAGTATTACAATCTTAAAACACTCTTTACTAAAAATTACCTACCTATATAGCTAGTTCTGTAAGTGCAATTATGTCAATATGCTGGCAATTACTATCATCATATATTTATTTAAGGACGCAGAACTGTGACAGATCAGAACCACCAGAAATGTTCCACATAGCACAAGTTCACAAAAACCCAGCTAGGAATATACCAAATGGCCTAAGAGGAATGATGCTCAACAATTAATATTCAGCTGGTGCAGTAAATAAGCTTCATGCTTGCAATGTAGCAGCTGTAGCTGTAAAGCTGCTTCTACTACATTTCCCCAACCCATGATTCAGCTCAAGTACAGTAGTCCATGCTGAATTTTTTGTGTATTTCTGAAAATTCACACTGGACACTTAAATCTTAATGGACCAAAAAAAAAAAAAAAAAACCACCACGTAGGTTTCACAAGCTTGAAAAAGCTCCCAGTCTTTTTCTGAGAAATTCAGCTGCCTTTACCTCTTTGTTTAAAAAAAGTGCTCCCAAATTGCTGATGTCTTAAAATATGAGGTGAACCAAATCGACACTGAAACTGCAAGCAAAAACAACTTGGTGAAACCTTAGTTTTTATTAAATACATTCACATTAAATACAAGGTGATCTGTCACACAATATGGTGACACACCAGCTCTTCCGTGTTTTCTGTCCTGAATTATCTATTAGCTGTGCTCCCAAAACATGTCTTCAGGTTTTTTAATAGCTAGCACAAACTCAATGTTTCGCCATCAGTGCATTTTAACAACTTATCGATAGATATAACTTGAGATTAAATGGAAAACACAAACAAGATATTGACTAATACAATCAGTAGAAGTTGCTGGGCAATATGCAGGGTATTCTCAAATGAAAAACTTCTCAGTCATCTCACCCAGTTAAAATGAAGTTTTGTAACTGTGCCCACAAAACCCAGCGTAGGTCTCAGGAACAATGCTTCATTGCAAAAAGGCAGCAGAGAGAACGTTTTCTGCCAGATTTCTTTTTTTCTCAATATTCACAGTATTTTAATATTACGTAAGGAAGGCAAAAAAACAAAAGAGGGAGGAAAGGGTTGCTGCTTACACAGCCTGCTTAATCTCCTCTACTAAAACAAAATAAATTAGGAGGGAAGCAGAGAAGTCAGACTCAGTGGAAAATTTTGCAGACTTGCTAACAGGCCATAGAAAAGAACCTTCAAATAGTATTTCCAGTTGAATTTTGTTAGTATGCCTTATATGTTTACAAGAAGTAGTAAATTAAACCTGCAAAATCAATTAAACTGATTTTCTTCTAAGAAGAAAGTAATAAACTTTCTTTTGAAGTCTGAAAATTTAGTTTAGTATCGAGTATACTGTGACATTTGAAAACATCTCAATTTCTCATTAGGAGATAAACTGAGAATGCTTTCTAAACTCTTCTCAAAAAACAACCTGTCTGCCCTTACCTCTGCTTGGACAATGAAGATTGACCAGCTTTGTTTATGGTTAAAATCTTTCATCTTCCTGATCTTTTTACAGTGAAACAAAAAAAAAAAAAAAAGCAATTGCTAAATATCACTACTGATAAAAACACTAGTAAATGCTAAAAATTCGGAAGAAAATACAAAACCAACTTAATTTCGCAATGTATGAATACATAAGAATTCCAACTACGCACAGCTACATCACAGTAGAAAGACAAGAACCAAGGCTGAGACCTCAACAGAAAGGGCTATTCCCTCGGGGACTGCTGCAGTGAAAAGAGAGAGAAAAGCCTAGATCTTCTCACTGGGAGCCGACCTTGGCCAAGGCAGGCATCATCTGGGAACTGGAAAGGTAATCATCCTTCTCCAATAAAAGCTGCACAGAAAATAACTGAGCATAGCTGGAGTTTACACACTTCACACGAAAATGCGTCAAAATTTGAGACAGATGTAATCGATATAAATGGAAGTGGTATCTGGTTTAGGAAGAGGATGAAACACAACTGTGTTCCTGAAGACAACAACAGGATAGGGATAATCCATTTCATACCAGTGCTCCAGTCTTAAAATCTAAAAACAGAGAATTCTTTGAATTCCGAGGACATTCCTCCACAGTTCCAGGTTTCACTGCCCCTCCCTGAAAGTCAAGTCAACTCTTTGAGGTAGGAGAATTTCCCTGTCAAAACCACCTCCTAAGTTGACCAGAAGTATCCACATATGCAAGCATGAAGTGCTCCAGACCTACAATGCCAAAAACTACATGCAACTCAAATCCTGACCATAAGACCATTCCCCATAAGGTAACTTATTTTTTTTCCAGAAACCACATTGACATATAAAACTATAGCCTTTATAACCCTTGCCAAAGGACCAGCAAATGTACTTTTTTTTTTTTAAAAAAAAAAAAACAAAACTGTCTTCCAACACCAAATAAATTTCCAAAAAGCTTTATATACAAAAGTTCCACATACCTTGTCCAGTTTGACACCTTCGGCCACTTTCAAAAGAGAAAAGATTTGAGTCATAGCCATAGCGACGGAGACAGAGGTAGTGCCATTTGACAGAGTCCCTTTTACGGGTGTACAAAATTAGTTCTGTGTCTGTAAGTTCCATTATGCCAGAACCCAGTTCATTACCATCATCATCCACATTAATAACCTATAAAAAAGGAAGTTAAATAGCATTAGGTAAGTACTCTTTTGAGCATCAGTACAACTACTAATAATCTTGGTGTTTCACTGATATGCTTCATCTGCTCTGTCATATTAGTTATAATCCTTGAGGTGAAAGTTTAAGAAAAAAGAAAAAAAACCCAAAAACCTTCACCAAACCAGCTCCTCTGCTCCCCCCAACCCAGAATTTAAAAAATACTTATTTAAAAGCAGTATGAGACTGCATAACATTATTGTAAAATCTGAGAAGAAATTTAAAATAGAAGAGATTCTTAAGGTTGGGGTTTTTTTAAACTGGCTTTATGTACATATTTTAGTTATTTCCACACAGATAAGGCATACCTCAGATAATGCAATCTTTCAGAGCGCCATTTCTAAAAAAAATATTTGCTTTGTCATATAACCCCACTTACAGTTGAGAAAAGGAATATAAAAGAATAAGGGGCTCCAAGATAAAGCTTCCTCCACATACCTGCATAGCCTTGCACTGTGCTGAATCACCAGACTGATTTTTTTTCTTCTGCCTTTTTAAAGTCAACAAATAATTCAAATACCCTATCGTTATCTTGCATGAAAACATGCACATAAAGCTTAAATTCATATTCTTTTTGCTTTTAAACCAGTTTTGAGGTCATCTGCATCCTTTACAGAATTCAGACAATGTATATTTTCCTCCATATGTACTTTATCTCACAATGCTGCTTTTAGTGGGATTCTTACTCAAAAACGTTACCAAAATTTTTTCCCTATGGTTTCAAGTAACATTACTCCTTAAAGAGACATTTTCAACTTAAAATCTAGTCAATTGAAAAGAACTAGGAATAGTTTCATCTGCCACTGAGGCTTATGCCAACTTTCTTCATTTTGCAAATTACATTCTTTCATCTTCTCCCCCCTGCTGCTAAATCAGCGACCCACACAAACAACAGAGAAATTCTGAGAGAAATAGGAACTAGTTACACAAAGTGATGTCAAATGCATAAAAAGCAAGAAAACAGAAAAATATTTTATCCTTCAAGCTTTTTGTACTGATAATATTATACATTTCCAGAAATTCCCATGGCTTTAAAGCTCATTCAGTGTTGCCCTAGGGCAACACATGAATCATTTTTCACTATGGAAGCATTACATTCCTCTGCCAACTCACAGAGACAGTTTGGAGCACAGAAGCATATCTGACTTGTGTGACTATGCAAAGGTATGTTTACTTAAAGTCACTGACTTCAGCAGCTTCAAGTTAAGCATGTTAAGCATATGAACAAGTGTTCACAAGCTTATAAATTCCAGGGATACAAGGGACAGAAGCATGTTTATAAATAAAATTTCTTCAAGTAGAGTAAAAAAGTTCTCAAAATGCTATAATCAGTAGTGATCTTCAAGTACAATCGGCAGCCCTAAAATTTTCCATTGCTGACCTCACATCCACGTTCACAACCACACTTCTCCAACAGCTTTTCCCTTATGCTTCCAAATCCCTTCCTAACTCCCATAACTTCCCAGAGGCCCTTACTTGGGCCCTGCCAACTGAAATGAAGATGGATCAGTAGCACAGGGCAGCTTCTCCTTCCTGAAGGGGAAAACCGTCACAAAAAAGCCTACCCTGTCTAGAGAAATCCTGTCACTGCTGGTAAGAGAGGATTTCCCAAAGGGGCAAGAGGAACCTGCAGCCAGAGACCCCTGCAACTCTGCAACGTTTTAACCATTCAGTAATTCTCATTTTATTTTCATTTAAATTTTTTCCATCACAGACCTACACCACAAGAAAGCAACAAAATTCACAGCATACCACGTCAGTTGCTTACCTTAAACTTGTTTCGATGGTTATCTGGGACAGTTTCTTTATCTGGACAGCTACAACAGCTACCCATGACTTCTTTAGAAGACCATGTGATCTCTAAAGAGGGGGAAAAAAAAAACCAAAACAAAACAAACACACACACACGATCATTTAGTTGAAGTAAAAATAAGAGTATCATCAACAAAACAACCCAACGCGAACTGCTCTCTGAAATTACAATTCTTCACAATGAATTTTGCAGTCATAAGTAAAAAAAAAAAAATCAATATAAATCTTACAAATATTTTTAAATAGTTACATTAGATTTGCCATTAAGGAGTGGCAATGCCGAGCTGTTAAAGTCCTACCAATAATTCAACTTAAGGTTACTACCAAACAGACCCATTTGATTTGTCACCTTAATTCCCATGGTAGCAGCTTGGGGGAAAACAAAAACCAGCAACTTACTGGGTGCAATCCTCATCTCCTAAACTAGGGCCCTTACACAAGGCGACAACCTGGATTCCAGTTCCGTCTGAATGAGCACTCCCTGGCTTCGACTGCTGAGCACAGCCCTGGCGAGGCCCATACAAGCCCTGGGCTATAGGAGGTTACCAGGCAGAGGCAGCACAAAGAGCCCACACGGCAATCCTGAAAGGCTGCCCTGGCTTTGGCAGCTCCAGGGCTGGCTGGCAACGGAGGGTGGAGGAGTTCCAGGCCTGGAGCTGCCCTGTGCTGGCAGCCACGCAGTGAGGCTCTGTGCTTCCACTCTTAAACTCTTCCCATATAGCAATGTACATACAACTATGTAATCAAAGGGAAGGAAAAAACCCCACAAATATTTTTAAAGTTGTTCTTTTATTTCTATTAAGTTCCGTTTGGATTATATTGTGTTACACAGTCTACTTCATTTGCTATAAACCAGTACAGTATTCAACTAACACGGAACAGCATGGCTAAATTAAGGAAACAAAACATAAATATTTGACGTTTTTGATATTTTCATTTAAAGATTTTTGTATGCATGGTAAAACTTTCATAAAACAGTATGATAAAGTGTTCATAGAACCAAGTCTCACAACTTGCTTCTACTCCCTCTGCCACCTTGCAGAGGGTGGCAAGTCTCCTATTTCTTAAATACAAGAAAGCCAGACGAAAGAAAACTTAACCCGTTTATATAATTTTTATCTTGGATAAGAGCTAATATTTCCATTACGTAAATCAAAAGTGGGGCAAAATCCTGGAAGACAGCTAGTAAGTCAACAAGAGATACGAGATTAGGAATCAAGAAGGAGGAAGACAGAACCGGTTGACAACTTTTCCTGACTAAAGGGGAAGAAAAATCAGATGTCATCTGAAGAAAACCAGGACTTGCTTTCTAGACAAGCATTTGTATTAGCATGCAGCAGTAGTATCCCAAGTAGCACTTTAGTCTGCTGAGAAATAAGGTGCAAAGAATACAATGAAGAGCAGCTAACTCTTCCCCTCCTCTTGACCAGAAAAGCCACTCAAGAGATACTGCTACCCTAGAGACTGTATAAATCTGCCACCAAATCTGCCACCCCTGCAGAAGTGAAACAGGAAACTTAACAGAGAGGGTAACAACACAGCTTGGATTAATCCAGTAAGAAAGAGGCAGAGCGCCAGACACATAGTCAAAAATCATGAATTCTCTAATGTCTCTCCTGGCCATAACATGAAAACATCCATTAAATTGACAGGTTTTTTCCCAACTCACCGTGAAACTGGGGGGTTGGGTGCTTGCTTCTACCACTGCAGAAAGAAGCTGTGCTACACACAACTGTTTTTTTGCATAGTGAAGCCCTGAATTTTATTAATCATTCCAGTCTCTCAATTACAGGCTACTTTTAATAGTCTTCATACACACATCCGATTGTTATTTTAACTATTCCATTTTTTTGCTTACGAATTCTGCCTGTTCTGTTTAGAAAGGGAGAGGTAATAACATCTATTACTAATTTCTGAACTGGCACCCCATAATGCTTCACTACAGTAATGTCCAGGTGTTGGTCTTGTTAGTCTGCTGATGCTACCCCTATGTATCGTGAGAATTCACTGCTTAAAAAGAGCAACAGGTGACAACAGCTGCCACGGAGATTAACAATTAATATATAAATTTGCAGCAAAGGTTTTCAAACTCTGGTCCATACAGCAGTCATAGTTGCAGATGCTTCTAGCAGCCTTCAGGCACAGATGCTTGCACTTAATAAAAACCCAATCTTAGACCTCCCCCAACGTTTTGATAAAGTGGAAACAGAACTAGACATAGAATCACAGAATCATTAGGTTGGAAAAGACCTCTAAGATCATGAAGTCCATCTATGTATATTCAGCATGCTGTTATACTATCATGCTTTCTTTGCATTCAGCATAAAATAACCAATCAAATCTGTTGGAGGTAGGTGCCTGCAAACTTAAAAAACAATAAAAAACCTTAACTGCAAAGTAGTTTGGGAAAACTCACTAGAGTTGCAAGTAGAAAGCTGTAGTATATGAAGATGTATGAAGTATAGCCACTGTATCTCAAGAACAACAAAGAAATGGTATGTAATCAAAAATCATACAAGCTAGTTATTTTTTGTTCACAATATATTCTAATATTAATACTACAGAACACCAAGAACTGCAGTGCTGCTTCAAAGGAGAGCTGTGAACCAAGGCTATGAGGAAGAAACGAAACAGCTAGGGAACTGGCAGAATTAAAAATCACTCACCTAGATTTGGCCATTAATATTCCCAGCCTCTGCTGCAGCATCAGGGCTTCTGTCATACTCAAAGTGTCATGCTGTCTTGTCACAGAACTAATCATTTGACCTAGAACTAAAAGAGTACATAAGAATGTAATTTTTCTTGGTTTTAAGATGCCAGTTAGTAAACTAACAAAAATACACACAATTTCTGGTTTGGCAGTATTATGTCTATAATACTTCATCCTTCACGGCTAGGATGCATCTTAAGTGGAGTTGGAGACTGATCTCTCAGAGCTTCCCCAGCATTTCAGTGCCTAGCTGCATCTTGGAAGAAAAAAAATCTGATGTCCCTTTCTGCAGTGTGGCCTGTCACTCCTTCACTCACTCCTCACCCAATCTAAGTGTGTGGAAATGTCAGCTGTGAAGCTCCCGTTATCCTTAGCACGTACCAAACCAAACTATGGCAGACAAACAGAAGGACAGATACAACCTACTCTGCTTAACTCCTTCTTGCTTAGCCTACTGAACATACACAAACGCTGACTTGTATAGCTAACACATCACCTTTTCTCTGCTACCCTCGTGATTCTTCCTCCATGACATTGACCATAAATCGCTTGCTTTCACCCCCACCCCCACCTCCCAGATACTCTCATACTAGCTATCCACTCACAACACCGAAAATTCAATTGCTGCTTCCACCAGGCTAACAGTTGGCAGCCTACATTCTGTTTGTAAAATTGCCAAATGAGCACTTGATGTTTCCTTTGACGCTGCTTCTTAAACTTGAGAGAAGGGCTAAATTCTGAGAAAAATACTTTATTATTAGCCTTTCTTATCAGCCTTTCAGGATATCTATGCAAATCTGTTTGAGACCATTGCAGCTCTGCTTGTCAATACCCCCACAATTCCTTGTACTCATCTGCTGTACTCCGTCTTGCACCTGACTTAGAAGCATTTGGGAACCCAAAGCACTCCTTTTTGTAGAGTATCAAGTGTAATGTAATCCCAAACCCATCCCAGGTCCCGGGCATCATGATAACAGTTGCAGAACACTTATTGTGGAGGGACTGCACAAGAGCACAGCAGAAATTCAATACTGGTAAATGCAAAGTAACACACCTAGCTCTCCCTGTTAGGAAAGATCAGTCATGTAGTCATGCAGTTCAATGAAAACACTTAGGTCAATAGCTATCATAAAGAAAATGAAATAGGATTCTTCAGGAAGAACTAGAAAAGCCAAACCAAAAATATAATTCTATTCTATGAATCCACAACGCACCCGCAGATGTAGTAATGTACACAATCATGTCTCCCCCTGTCAAACAAAATAAGAATAAAACCAGAAATACGCTACTTGAATTGCTCAGCCTGCAAAAAGATACCATACAGGACAGAAAAGATGAGTACAGAATTATAGGTGACATGGAGAAGATAAATAAAGCACAACTATTTTCCAAATGCAAGCATTAGGGAGCAGCAGTTGACATTATTAAGTGGCAGGTTCAAAAAAACTACACCAAAGTACTCTTTGCACATGGTATGTAGTTAAACTTTGTGATCCACAAGATCTTGTGGGAATGAGTTCCAAAAATTTAAAGATTCAGAAAGTAATTGAACAAATGCAAGCTCCATGAAGAACTTTTAAACTCAAGGATGTCACATCTGGCTCAAAAAGTCTCTAAGCTGCAGATACTGAGAAGGGTCTTAGAGAATGACCACAAAATGCTCCTTCTTACTATTCCCTTCCCTATATACTTACTGTTGGCTGTCAGAATTTATTTTTTACTGTCAGAAACAGGATACTGGACAAACCGATACTTCAAGTCTGACTCAATAAAGCCTTTCTAGTTAACATAAAAACATGGACTCAGCATAAATTTTTGAGTGCACTGTTGTTAAGACATTAAAAAAAATTAACAACTCATTTAACTTGAAACTAAACCCTAGATTTCACAACGGTACAAAAGGATAAGCTTATTGAACTGCTTGATAGATACGTATATTTGCATACACATACTAAACAAAGGTTCTGTGCTGTGCATAAGTGATATTTGCTATCAGGATTTTGCAGCAAGTCACATACTCTTCCTACAATTTATTTACCCTTTAGCCATGAGCTTTCTTGATCTTGGACAAAACTGTACACAGTTGCATTCAAGACCTACCCCCTCTGCAAAATGCACAGGCTCTGTTTCTGTGATTGCCCTACCCAATCTAGCCGATATTATTTAACCGTATTTTTTGGTCAGGTTAGATTTTTTTTGGCTTAGCACACCAAACCAGCTCAGCAGAGAGTCTAGCAAGTGCCAGAGCCAGCTGGGGACAGAATCACAGCTTTAGTCACCTCTGCCCAGTTTTCAGAAAACTCAGCCCCTTCACTAATTACTGGGATTTACTTAGTTTACCAAACTCCCTGATAAAATCTTCCGGACAGGAGAAAGGAAAGAGGGAGCAGCAAGCTTGACCCACCCGCTCTGGTGGAATCTTACAGGTAGTTATTAGAAGAAAAAAAATAATAAAATTAAATTTTTTTACAGGCAAGCTACACTACTGCAGGTGTGTTTGCCCTAGTATTTACCCTGATATTTTTCTAACAAAGTTTTAAAGTCTTCATATGATTTGGCCACCTAAAGTAGACTAGCCTGTTTCAGTTACCCAAGGATGATTCTTAAATGATATAAACAGTTTTTAAATTATATAAACAGAGTTTTTAATGGATAAAAAGAAAGCACAGAAATTTACAGTACCTAACTTCTTTTAAATGTAAAACAATAACAAAGTTCTCCAACCAGTTGTTTCCAATTACAAGTTGGCTATTTACTCTGTTTGGGATTTTCTTAAATCTTCCCAGATTGCAAAATATTTATCCAAACTTAAACATATGAGGAGAAGTAGATATTTTCACAGTCACAACCCTAAAAGTTAATCTTCTCAGTTATGTCTATAATGTCAAATTTAGGAGCTGTAATTTCCCGTTCATGAAGCACCAGTGGTGGTTGGGTGCAGTCAAGCAAGGAGGGGAAAGGGATGGCGAGTATTTTCTGCTTCTCCCAAACACATTCATAAATGCACTGCAAGGTAAAAATCCCAGGCAAGACAAACCAGGACCAGCACTTACCTAAACCTTGTTAACAGGAGTGAAAGTTAGGAAGTGCCGTAACTTCAGTAAGATTCCTCTGCTCTGCTGGGAGGCGATTCTCCCCCTCTATCTACTCTGCTCTGGTGAGACCCCACCTGTAGTACTGTGTCCAGCTCTGGAGGCCCCAGTAAAAGAAAGACATGGACCTGCTCAAGCAGCTCCAGAGGAGGGCCACAAAAATGATCAGGGGGCTGGAGCACCTCCCCTATGAGGACAGGCTGAGAGAGTTGGGTTTGTTCAGCCTGGAGAAGAGAAGGCTCTGGGGACACCTTACAGCAGCCTTCCAGTACTTAAAGGGGGCCTATAGGAAAGGTGGGGAGGGACTCCTTGTCAGGGAGTGTAGTGAGAGGATGAGGGGTAACAGTTTCAAACTGAAAGAGGGGAGATTAGATGAGATAGTAGGAAGAAATTCTTTACTGTGAGAGTGTCAAGGCACTGGAAGAGGTTGCCCAGAGAAGCTGTGGCTGGCCCCTCCCCGGCAGTGTTTAAAGCCC